TGGGGGGAACAGTTTGTCTTTTTGTTTTAGAAAGAAAATGCACGTAATAAAAAGAGTCTTATGCAAAAAAGAGTCATATGTCAAAAAAAATTTTCAAAAAAAGAGTTCAAAAGAAAAAAAAAAAAGTGGCCAATATATCTGTGAACTGTTTCCCCCTTTCTCGCTTGAAACGTCATCATTCAGTCTCTGTGCTCATGCGGTTGGAGAATCTAAATGACAGCAGAGCAGAGATGGATGGGCCACCAACCCAATCGAATCGTTTTGAGAAAAGCAACGCAAAGATTGGGGACTATTCGGTGTTTAGAAAATGCGACAATATTAATATTAAATTGGAGGGAGGTGAGAGTGATGGACTGGGTTGCGTGGTAGAATCATTAATGAAGAATGTGGAAACCGAATACAGAAGGGGAAAAGTTTGATCCGCAAACGGGTCTCAAAAATCTCTCTTTGTAGGCGTTACGCGAGGAATGGAAACGTGCAATGGTCGCACCATCCGCCCACGATCTCAAGTCAACTTTTCAAACCGGATGACCAAAGGTTCTTTTTTGCTTCCCCCTAACCTGAGCGTACTGAATTTCAACTTTGGCTTTGGCAGCCTCCAATTCCATAGAGTCCCAATTTAGCCGCTCTTTCCAATATCTTTATTGGTTTAACTTTTCTAAACGCTTAATATATGATATGCCTAGTAATCTATTATTTCAAATCTTGATTTTTCCCCATACTCGAATGTTGACAGCTAGATCTTAACGGTCCATGTAGAGAAATATAACATAAATTCTCTATTTACTAAAAATATCTCTATCTCAAAAAACAAATTACTAAAAACGCAGTCAATATATACAAAGCAACAAGATATGTCCACCCTTGCAATTGAATGCTTTCTTTTTTAAAAAAATATAAATTACAGCATTATAATTCTAGAGCTAAAATTCAAATATTGGACTCGTAAAAAAAATTACTTTTTGCCATAATATGTGAAGATTAGCTATATAATAGCTAATAAATAACAAACGTATTATGCCAACTTGAACTTAATTCAACTGATTATGACATTTATCTCGAATTAAAAGGTCATAAATTCAATTCCTCCCCTGTTGTTGTATTAAAAAAATCATCATTTCACTCACAAACATGAATCAAAAAAAGAAAAAGAGGCATGAATAAGAGGTGGCAAAAACAAAAGCTTTATATCTAGAGTTATCTTCTTCAAATATCTATAATCTATAATATATTTAAAAAACTACCATTTTTGAAGAAAACATCTATAATCTATAATATATTAAAAAACTACCATTTTTTGAAAAACTCTTTTTTACTAACATTTCTTTTTTACTATTTTGTTCTTGGTCAAATTTTATATTTACAGATATGCCATTTATAATTAATTATCAATAATTAATAAGTCGTGTATTGAATTTATATCATAAATTTTCATTTAAATAGTTAGAATACGAAAAGTCATTTTTCTTTATTTTGGTTTATTAATTTAAGAATTATTACACTTTATTATAGAATATCAAAAATATTGAAATCTAAAAAATTTTGTAATTATTCTATTTCCTACCATTATAAAATAACTCTCTTACTCTCTTGTTTTCTTAACAATGAGTATAAATATGAAATGCTACATATTTTTTACTAAGTGTTAGAAAAAAAGTAGCGTAAACCATAAGGTCGTGAGTTTGAATTTATCCACCTTCACATGTTGTACTAAAAAAACTAAAAAATAGTTTAATATAATAATAACATTATTGTTTTGCAAAATTTATTAATTTATAATTCAAAAATATTATATTTGGTGAATTTCATTTTCGTAAAGTATTGTATTCATGAACAAATTTGTTTGTTTAGACATGATATTTTAATACGCATCTATATCTATACAGCATCTTTGAAACAAAATTTAGACCATATTACTCTTTTTTTAAAGAATTACAAACATATTATTTACCACATTTTCACAAAAACTTGAAATTCGAAACTGCATTTAATTTTTTACGTTGGAATTTTAAATGTTTTTTTTCCTTCACAACAATGATGATAAAATTTAACTAAAATTATAAAAGATGGCAGGTATTCTACTGAATTATTTAAACAAATAAAAGAAAATTTAATTACCAACTGAATACCAATTGAACTTTTCTGCACCGTTATTTCAGTATTATTAAATATTAACAAGCAGGTACAAATTTAGCTTTTATAATATCATTAATAAAATAAAACAGTATCTATTCTTTTTTTAGTCCAACATGTTGGGAAGATTTCGAACTCACAACCTCTTATTTTGATGTATGTATCAATTACCGTTGAACTATACTCGCTTTGACATAAAAATTTCGAGTACAACATGTTGAGGAGGAAATTCGAACTCACAACCTTTTAGTTTGAGGTATATATCAATTACCGTTGAACTAAAAATGCCACGGCCAGGAGAATGCTTCAAATAACGAAGTAAATGATAAAATGCAGATAAATGTGATTTCCAGGCCGAGAAACAAACTGACTAAGCTTGTTGACTGCAAAGGTAATGTCACGCCGCGAAACAGTCAAATAAAGCAACTTGCCAATCAAACGGCGATACAATGAAGCATCTTGAAGAAGATCAGAATCAGTGGCAGCTTAAAGACGAACTGTGGGATCAAGCGGAACCATAACCGACTTGCAACCAAGAAGGCCAACATCTTCGAGCAGAGAAAGCGTGTAATGCCGTTGACATAGACATATCCCACGAGAACTATGAGCAAGTTCTAGTCCGAGAAAATACTTGAGATTACCCAAGTCCTTAAGTTTGAACTTAAGATGAAGAAGAGACTTCAATTCAGCAATAATGGAAGGTGAGGCCCCTGTGACGATAATATCATCAACATATACTAAGAGAGCAACAAAACTATCTCCTTGTCCTCTAGTGAATAATGAGTAGTCTGCTTTAGACTGTAGGAAACCAAGAGAAATCAAAGCAGAGGAAAACTTTGCGAACCACTGTCTCGAGGCTTGTTTGAGACCATAAATGGACTTCTTAAGGCGACAAACAAGACGTTGTCCCTGTGGAGTTGTAATTGGGGGTTGATAACCAAAAGGTAGATCCATGTAGACTTCTTCAAATAAGTCACCATGGAGGAAAGCATTATTCACATCTAACTGGACAAGAGACCATCCCTTAGAAACAGCAATAGTGAGAAGAACTTTTACCGTGACCATTTTGGCTACAGGCGAAAATGTCTCAAGAAAATCGAGTCCCTCTTGTTGAGTGTAGCCTTTGGCTACTAAGCGAGCTTTGTATCTCTCAACATTACCATCAGAACGATGTTTAATCTTATAGATTCATTTGCATCCAACAGTATGATGGCCAGACGAAAGTGGAACGACCTCCCAAGTCTTATTGGTAACCATAGCATCAAGCTCAGCTGCCATTGCTTCACGCCAATGAGGGAAAGACACAGCTTGATGATAAAAATTAGGTTCCATTTGAGCAGATATAGCCATAGTCAAAGAAAAATGACTTGGTGATAAGTTGGAATATGACAAATAGTGATGCAAAGGATGCTTTGTAAAAGAAATTGACGGTTGGAGACCATGTAGAAGAGAGCAATGATACTCACGAAGATAGGAGGGAGGCTGCTTTTGCCTAGAAGATCGGCTCAAAGTTAATGAGTATGCTCACTTTGACATAAAAAATAGTATCTATTAAAATTCCAACATATATATATATATTAGACAGACAAAATTATCTTGTCCTAAGATAGAGATATCTATTAAAATTCCAACATATATATATATTAGATAGACAAAATTATCTTGTCCTAAGATAGAGATAGAAAGAATCGAGAGTTGCTAATTTCCTATCATTGCAGTTCTTACACTCGCGAGAAGGTTAGAAAGCCATTATGTTATTTAGTTTTTGTCTAATTTTAATTGTTTTAATTTATTATTATTATTATTATAAAAAAGTAGCCGGAGAAACCAAACCTCGCAAAGTGAAGAAACATAAAGAATTTAACTAAATGGGATCAATGTTTTAAATGTCAATGTCGATAGAAATATCGAGGTCCCAATTTCATAAAAATATCGATAAAATGTCGATGTCGATGGATATTTCTGTAAAAGTTAGAAAAATTAAAAAATCGTAAAAAGATATTTAAATTAACAAATAAACATTTTTCTATAGTTAAAAATAATTAATATTAATTTTATATATATTAGTGACCTTTTACGGATATTTTTCGTATTTTGTCAATTTTCTTGTACTATGATGGAAATGTCGATTCACTCCTCACATCAATGTCGAATCTATGTCAATGGAAATGTCGACATATCGACGGATATTTAAAACCAGCAAGGCGAAAATAAGAGGTAAATTAATTTAGTAATATCTGTGTGATGAAAGAATATAGAGATTAAAATGAGAGTTTAGATTAGTACAATATGTTAGGGAGGCGATTCAAACTTACAACCTCTTGGTTGGTGGTATATGTCAACTACAGCTGAACTATACTAAAGTAAAGTGTTTAACATTGTTACTCGCTACCAATTGTAGCTCCAATCTTCTAATTTCTTTCCTTTTTTCTTAAATTTCATTTTTTTTCTTGTTTGTTCTTTTCCGTTGTATATTCCCGACAATGTCGATATGGGACAACATAACTCCTTTTTGATAATTAAATGGATAATAAGTTAGCATAATTATAGAGGTGAAATTAATTAATTAGGCCACTTGATGGAAGAGAATTAGGTTACTGAATTTTCCTCCAAATTAATAATAAATGCCTCAAATAAATCAAATAAGGTTAATTAATTGCTAAATCAAGTATAGTTCAGTAATTGACATATATCTCAAACTAAAAGTTTATAAATTCCATAATTATAT